GTCCGTATGCACAAAGACACAGATCCCTAAACAAGACCATATCTGCAGATGGAACTTTGTTTGTAGAAGCATTTTTTAAATGTGAACTAGCACCTCATGACTACACCACGTTATGTACGAGAGGCTGCAAAAGACACAGGCGCAAGTGGAATGTACAAAACATGGTGAAATTAATTTAAGTAAATATAATGGGCGATATATTGCATCACCAAAAATTATTGAGGTCATGTACATATATTGCGCGATAAGTCGATATATTGATTATTGCGACAGGCCTACTGACAATATATTTTTAATAAGCACCTAATTTAAAATTTTTTAACTCAGTTCAGCTCATGAGATTTTGTACAGCTCCCAGGTTTGTGTAGATCACTGCAAACACTCTGAAACACGCATATAGACTATATGTTAATTTCATTTAACATTCAGTTTAATAATCGTACTAGGCCAAATCATGATTTCAATATTATTTTCATTATTTCTTTTCATTTTTTACAGTGCAAATTTGATACAGACTCAAACCCAATTTGGGGAAACAGTGTAAGAAGAGAAACAAAAGAAAGATGAGCAAGGTAAAAAAAAAAAAAAAGGATACAAATAAAACAACATTTTGGGCCAGGATTACACAAAGCAGACATTGTGTTTTAAAGCCAGCAAAGTCACACTGTAGGGGGAAAGGGAATTAAGGACAGAAAAACACATATAGCAAGAAAACGGAACAGAAAAAGAGGCTGGGAAGAAAAAAGAATAACACTCACAAAACAACAACATAAAGCTCAGTCGGTTCAGTAACAGCAACAAGGGGAAATGGAGAAATGTAAAGAAAAAAGGAGCGTCAAGGACTTAAAGAGGGAGAGCAAGAGCGAGAGGAGATAATACAGAAGGTGCATGAAATATGCGGAGAATATGGGGACAGCAAGGGGACAGAAGAGCCTGGAAAACACATCAGGACAAAAAGCATGTGACTTTCTGAAGCAGGATTAAAAAGATGTAACCTAAAGCCCTTCACTGTGGGATGTGTTTTACCGTGGATCATGGGGTGGCCCTTCCTGTCCTGTCTTGATAAACTGGATGGCATGCCCACTGCGCTGACTGTGCTCCATCAGGACAGATACGGGGTTCTTTCCTCCAGGTAGAGAGCGAGACAGAGCCTGGGGCGGAGTATCCGAACCACCCTTTAGAAATGAGACAGAGAAAATAAATAAATTTTATCTTGATTTAAATCCATATTATCTTTAAATAAATATTTCCACACAAAATATTTTATATACAACATTTTGAAAACATTCATATACAAGTTCAGTTAAAGGTAAAATATGATATCAAAACTGCTATGAGAGATTAAATAATTAGGTTTCAAGCAACTTTGACACTGAAAAATGAAAACAAACATACTATCATATCATCTGCCAGGTCAGTGGTTGACTCAGCTCCCTCGGTGCTTGGTTCTTCCTCTTCGTCACCACCTGCTCCTTCCAACTCCCTCCAAAGAATCTTCAGGGTTGTGGCTGCAGCATCTTTTTTGGCCACTTTTTTGTTTAGACCCTCAGCCGGTGGAAACCTACGGCCATCTAACATGACCTGCATCCGAAACCTTGAGACAAAAAGAAAAACCTCAAACTATTAATCCATGAAAACACAGTTGGTGTGTTTCTACTAATTCTTAATCATTTAACCTCATTTCACCAAAATTCACTAGCAAGAGAACATAAATTATGTAACATCTCCAAAAAGCCTTGGCTGTTTCACCAATTCTTAAATTAATCACCGCTGTGTAGCAGCTTTCCAAACATTCCAAAAACACACTTCCAAAAAAGCTAGAGGCAAAGACTGTATTAACACAGACAAACAAATGCTCAAATGCACCCATAAACAAGCTTGTCATCAACTAACCTGGGATCATGTGAGGGTCCAGACTGGTCCAGAAGCAGGAATTCACAAGTGTGTCCAAGATGCTGAGCAAACTCCATCAGTCCGCTAACTGGGTTCTTACTGAGGGCCTCTTTCAGTTTCTGCAATCTGCTTGACTCCAGGCTTTGGGCCGGGGGAGGGGGAGCAGCCAATGAAACGGCAACCTCGGAGCGAATCGTGTTCAGGAATTCTGGAATATCGTCAGATGCCCACTGTGAACGTTCTCCTCCATTACTGGCCATATCCTGATAGTAGGACAACTGATCGGGAGGAGGTTGGAAGAAGCGGAAGGTGGAAGAGGAAAGTTCACTGGGTTTGGGAGGTATCGGCTCAAGGCCAGGCATGTCAAGCTTCGTGTTATCAAATGTGTTGTCTAAAATATTATCCAATAGATTTTCACCCCCATCCATTGGCTCTGCTGCGGTACCACCTGAAAACTCAAATCCATAATTTACATTTGTAATCCCTTCAGCTGCAAAGTTCAACATCTCTGCACTGTTTACATCCTGCATTGCAGTCGCAGCGACTTTTCTTTGGCGGTCCATCTTTTCCTGCCGGTGTGCACTAAGTGACCAGGTATGTGGTGTAACTTCGGTGTCACGACTTACGTCACCTTGTTTCTCCATGGCATAGAGTGTGGGATTAACCTGCTTGGCACTTCGCAGGCCAAGGTTCTTGGCAATCACAAGCGCACTGCCTGTACCTGCTTCATAGAGGTACTGTAGGATCTTCTCTTTGCAATCTTTAGAATCGGCCATTGTTGACAAGGTTACTGATTGCACAGCAGGTAAAAGAGTCTTTTGATTCTGGTCAGGAAGCAATGTTTCACAGGTATCTTCAACTTCGGAGTCCTCCGACTGGTCAGTGGAATCACTGTCAGCCTCAACGAGGGTCTGTGATGCAGAGGGAGCACTGGTGCTGGTGAGATCCCCTCTAACCTCTTGGTTTATGGATGACTTCTGACCTGGCCTTTTCTCAGTATCCTTTGAAGACTGCGTTTGGTCTCTCTCTTTGATGGGCTCACCGTCCTCTTCCTTGCGAAGTCTCCACAGTGGAGGAATCTCACCTTGTTTCACTGCTTGGTTTGTCCGTAAGAGGGCATATAAAGCCTTATTAACAATTGCCTTGGGAAGGCCGAGCTTTTTACCCAAGGCCCTGGCCTGAAGGGTCTCGTCTGGCCCGAGTGATGTCAAAAAAGCGAGGACCTGTTGCTGGATCTCAGGGGTCAAATACAGAGACTCTCTGACCGAGCCAGGAGAAATGGAAACCTCGTTGGCAAGGCTACTGCAGGACGAGGTGTCAGAGGTGCCCACCCTTGTTATCCGGTCACCCAAACTCAGACTATGAAGGCCCGAGGACAAATCATCTGCCTGTGCATTCCAGTAGTGCTTAGTGTATTGACTGGGATAACACTGTCCCTTCTGGAAATGATGATTCCAGTGTGGCTTTCTCTTAGGTCCAAGTGTATTTCCGAAGTTCTGCTCCCTTTGCCAGTTTCCTCGGCCTCTGCCGTAGCCGTCTCTTCTTTCAAAACTGCTACCACTTGTTTTAAAGTCACGATAACCTGCCTGGTACTGGATAGGCCCAGTAAAGTCCTCTTCCCCTCGGCCAGAGGTTTGGGACCCTCGCTGCTGGGGTGCTTTGAACTGTGGAGCCTGTGCACTCTGCCCCCTGAGGAACTGCACCTGCTGTTGTCGGAAGCTTACACCATTTGAGTCTGAGATCTGATCACTGCCGTGCTGGGGGGATGCCCACAGGGGTGGATCAGAGGGGCTAGGGTGAAAAGGACGACCACGTGGAGGCACGTCAGGAGCACCCGGGCAAGTGGAGTAAAGGGAAGGGTGTGGATAGCTTCCAGATACGGGGCTTGGGACACGAGGGCCCCGTGGGTGACCAGTGGTTGTGTGGGAACGAAACTGAGGTTTTCCCTGTTGGGGAGGGAGGGAGAATCGCTGGCAATCTTTGTGAAACCCTCCTCTACCTCTGCTCATAGCGCAGGGGTGGGGGCGAGAAGGGCGTAGCGTCGGGCTTGGTGGATGGGATGTGTGCACGTGTTAGGATGACTCTCAGGTATCTAGATGTAACGTCACAACGATACCAAAGGCTTAGTCTGTGCACCGCTTCTTCTGCAGAGAGACAGAGAACAACAGAGAAATCCATGAAAGAATGCAAAGGGGACACATGCTTTCTGATGTTGCAGTGTCACTGTACAGACACACAAATCCTGTCGGCACATTTCTCGGCAACCCAGTACACTGTAATTTGAGGACTTGGTAAAAGGCTCACAGATTAATTATTCATGCTTGATGTGACAACCAATTTATTTCTGGCTTAGTGAGTAATTCGCAGATACTTATGGTGAGGGAAAGTGGTCATGGGTATTAGAGGAAAACACTTTACGCGGCGGGGCAATTTTTTTTGAGCAATGTTGCTTGGTCACTTTCCCATTGAGAATGGGCAACAAATTTCTATCTGGATACTTTAGATCAGTCGTAGGCCCTGTGTCTCATCTGGTTGCCCGTTGACTAGTGTTGTTTTTGGCGGCCTGTTTTAATTTTAGTTTTAGTCTAGTCTTTGTGTGAAACTGGGGCCTGCGTCTGCGCAGTGCGCCCTGATGCCGCTGAAGCGAGACACAGGAAACAGAAATACTGCAAAATAATAATAATAATAACGCGACTAAACGAGACGAAATAACGTTATAACATTTTGTTTCGTCTCGTTTTGGTCAACGAAAATGAAGATACATTTTAGCATAGTTTTTATTTTGTAAACCACATTTAGTCTCGTTTTTATTCGTCAACGATATTGCATTATACATTTAATTATAGTCATCGTCACATGACCAGCATTTTCGTCTCGTCTCGTCTCGTTTTCGTCACGTGATAAAGGTTCGTTGACGACGATATTTAGTCATAATTTTCGTTGACGAAAGCAACACTACCGTTGACGGCAACATTGCCCAGAAACATTGCTCAAAAAGTTGCCCCGAGTATCATCAGCCTCAAGGACATTCTCTCCCAATATGAGTAACTATATTAGGTAAAGCACAACGATGAGTAAAGCTGTTTTTTAAGAGACTTGCAAAACATTGCGAGATGTCAGTGAACCTAACACTAGTTTGCAAAATGCAGTACTCAACAGCCTACTATAGGTAGTATGAATTGCTGTGAGTTTAAAATAAGTTGCTTATTAAGACTCTACAGTCCTCATAACACAACAGGTCAATAGGCAGCACTTATCCCGCAAATTCATTATTTCTAATTGATTCAGGCAACAATAGCTCAGAAAAATAGCAAGGTTATGACACATTACATAAGACACATAATCAAAAAGCTGAATATAAGAGCTACATTTCTAACCACATACATTCTCCACTTTATCATTTGTTAGACACCAGTAAACCAGGGGTGTAATGGTTCAAATTTTTTCACGGTTCAGTGTGTATTGCAATTTTGGAGTCAAAGCAGCAGAACCGATTGATTATAGGTAATAATAGTAAATATAAACAAAGGCACAAAATAAGTGTCAACAGGTCAGAGGTGTAATGTTCTGCAGTTATAATGTTATACTAAAACTAAAACAATGGAAAAACCCTTAAGATAATATGTAGAAAGAAAAAAACTTATCTTAAGCGTGCAGAATAACATAAGTGGACGATTAATTGCCGCTTTGAACGATTACGTAATTGTGGCATCCATAATTGTAATTGCGATTAGAAATTCGATTAATTGTGCAGCCCTAGCAGGAACACATTTAGTCTTCTAAAAACAGTAACACGTTACTGTTATCATAATCTCATTACAGTTAACAATGTTCAAAGAAATAAAATTCAAGGTAAAAACCCAACAAAAATGACAGCGATAAAAAAAAAAACAGCAGTTAAGAAAGTATCTGATCATAGCGATGTGGATATTGCAATTTGGCACTCCAGTCAATTCACATCAGATCACATATATTTATATAGTGCTTTATGCAATAGATTGTTTTAAAGCAAGCAGCTTTACAGTATTAACCATGAAAAAAAACAGTGTTACTTTCAATTCGAATTACAACTTGACATCAGTCAGTCTTTTACTTTTCCATACAGTTAGTTAAATGGCGAATGAGCCTGTAATGTCTGTTTGCCTGTAATCCTATTTTGTGTGCCATATCTATATTTGTTTGTATTGTACAAAAATAATTGTAATAACACTTTAACATTTTCAAAAGCTGAAGTGATTGCCTTGTTTTATTTATTAGAATATGCACAACTCAATATTTTAACTAATTGCAAAAGCTGAATAATCATTCAAAGCCTACTGATTAACCAATGAAATAAAAAACAACTATTAATTGATTATTATTATGATTATTAATCGATTAATCGTTCTAATAACTGTTAATATTACGTGTTTTTTTTTTTTACAGAGAACCGTTACATCCATACAGTGTACATTAAATATTTTAACTGCTATAAAAAAATCACATACCTGATTTCACAGCCTTTCACCAAATACTAACACAGACAAGAGAATTCCGCACAGACTCTGGCTTACTGTGACCCTGATGCAGCTTCACACGTAACTTCAGACATAACAGCTCACTCTCTAAATAAACTGAAGCGAGAGGGAAAGTGATTCTGCTCACGCACATTCCACGTGCTCCATGTGCATTAAGAAATTATACTTGTGAATATTGGAGTTTTGGTGTCCTTTCACCAGTTCCCAACCTAATTCTGGCATTATAGAGGCCGTCCCTTAATAAACTTTATTAACATAGAATAAAAATTGTAACAGAAGGTGATTTTATTAAACCATGTTGTCGATGCATGGTACTTTAATTACCACTTGTTCACTCTAACAATAAAAGTACAGTAACAGACAATGGTTTAGCTTGAAAAGGTCTAGGAGGGTAGAAAGCTTAGCCAATTAGTATTGAAAAAAAAAACTGCTTTCAAAACTGTGAGCTGAAATAGATGGGTTATTGAAAATAATTTTGTACTTAAATCACTTATTTTATTTTAAAGGATTAGAAAATATGGTTCACAAAATAGGGGAATTATTTAAATGTATAGAAAGGTTTCCCACATCTCTTAAACACATAATTTTCTTGATTTTTCTGTGCCTAGAGATTGCATTTACAAAAGACAATTTCCAACCAACAAAACAGCATATCCACGATACAAATGACTTTTCCACAACCTCTCAAGATTTTAAACATTTTCATGACTTTGGTAAATTGGTCCAATCTCTCAATTTTAAAATTCCCTTTTAAATTTTTCAATTTGAGAAGCCTGTATAGAACAGTTTTGTTATACCACCCAAAGGCACAATTGGGACCTAAAAGGATGAAAATAGCAGGGTGCTTATTACAAAACTCTAGTATCTAATGTCTTTAAATATTTACAATGAATTACTGATTCGTTCTAGTTCAGATTCTGCAGTTCAGTCACTTTGACAACTTAGAATATTATATAACCTACATTACTAAAAACCCATTCAGATGAGACCAACCCAAGAGATTATATTAAAAAGTTATACATACCTCAAAAACAACTTAAGGTAAAAGATAGATAAACCTGGCACAGATCACCCAGATGAGGCCCAGACTCGTGCACTGACTAAACGCTGTTCCGCATGAAAACTGAACTCCAGCAACTCGTTGTCCCCGTTTGCCTTTTGCAAACGTTTTGGGTCCACAAACTCCACTATACGAGATGCTCCCGAGACTTGTCTTATTGCTTTTGAAAAGCTTGTTGCAAAAGTGATATCAGCAATGAAAAAAAAAGAAAACGCGTAAAGGCGGAGTGTTGCTAACTAGGCACTTGTCACGTTAAGTTTCGCTTTTCATTCTTCTCCAAGCTCTCAAACTGTTGCTAGCAACTTACGCAGAACACGCATGTCTCTAAACTGACGGCAGGGGGCGCCATTAGTCAAAGCGCTTGAAAGTTTAATCAACATAATACAGCTTCACAAAGGGTAATTACACCATTTAATTCTAATACAATGACAGGTGGGTAAAATGTGTCAGAAAATTTATCTATATACACCAAGCAATCATCCCTAGGTATATTAATATTGAAAGAACTCATGCGGGACGACTGTATTCATATTACTGCGTATCAGTTAACAGCACGACATATTAATACTGCATCGCACTACTCATTTTATCATAGCCGTTGAACTATTGGTTTCGTTTCAGATTTCACCAGCCAGCAGACTGAAAGCAAGCCTCCACCTGCGACCCTCCCAGATGCATAATACATGAGGTTACAGTACCGTGACCGACATGAAACTGCACTGCAGTTTATAACCTCCTACCGAAGCCTGAAGTGCAAATTAAAACAACATCTTCAGCAGTGCGTGCCTCGACTTCACTCCCCTAAGAGAAAACAGTCCGAAAGAATAGCGGTCATGTGCGGACAAATGTCCCCCGGAGGCCCTTAATAACCCAGTTTATCCAGTACGCAGTCACGCAGTTGCAACTTTTGTAGCTCAGGGCTTTAGGACACACAGCATCAAAGACAGAATAACAGCCACTGCTTTCATCGCCATATTCAGGAGATTATGTATAAAAGTATTCTTAGTAATGTTCATTTAAATCTATGATTAATATTATAGGCATCGTATTTTTTTCCGTCACTGTATTTGTGTGTGTTTTGATGCTTTGGCAAATAATGAGAAAAATTCAAGACCAATAACGTACTTCGAAATTAATATCGTAATGCTGTGGTGGTACCACGGTGAAGTGACTGTATTAGCTGATAACATGGTACTTTTTTGTTATTGTCCAGTAACTCTGTCAGAATTTTAATATTTCAATACACAAATCAATAATTAAATGAATAAATGGATCTAGTCATTGACCGAAGAGATATTAGACTACATACATAGATGAAAAGCAGAGACCCGTAGGAAAAAAAGCACTCTGGTATTATGGTTATTTTATTTTTATTTTTTTGTTCTTGCTCAACACAGACATGTCTTTATAAACTAGCCCTGTGCGTAATCTTCTTTAGCCAGTTTCAACAAGCCCTTTAAGGTAAAAAATAGAAAACTGAGTTGCAAGGACATCGGAGCTTGATCAGCTTAAATTAATATATCGCTTCAAGTAAACAAATACAACCCGCAACTAAGCATTTGCTACTCTTTAATTCAATTGCAAGCATGCAACAGCATAAAACTAGAAGGACTTAGATGAGACGACTGGGTACTTAGATGATCTGGTATTTAATGCGACAGCCAGCGATAAACAGCGATCGAAAAATCTTTGAAGCATCTCTCTCACTCCAGCACAATCCAGTTCCCATTCCGTTCCGTAAACGCAATAGTATCTAAAATAAAACACAGCCATGTACATTACAGGGAATAAATATACTTACATGCGCAGACGACGTACACAATCCTGCAACGTCCCTGCAAGAGGCCACATGCAGATTGAAAACAGCGCTGGTGAATGACAATGAAATGTGGCGCGTAGCTGCGACGGTGTTTTCGACGCTCTCTGATGACGTCGCATTTCGCAGGAAACCGCAATGTGAGCTTAAAAGCATGATCGGTTATTAATGACATGAAATAGCTATTTGTGTAATGCATGCCTTGAAACTATTTTTAAAAATATTCATAATGTTTTTTTAAAATTATGTATTTATTAATTTTTACAGCCCTTGTTTTGATCCATACCAAGTGAAATCTTTGGACGATTATGAATAATGATGAATGAATAATATAATATAATATAAGTGTAATAAAGTGTAAAAATGTTAAATAAATAAATAACCACAAGATTAAAAAGATTGAACCAACTAACTAAATATATATTTGATTAATAAATGAATTTGAAATCGATTTAAATAAATACATCCAATTTGGTTTTGAAAATAACAAACAAAACATTGTTAAAATAAAAAATTTAAATGTGAATGAATAATATAATATAATATAAGTGTAATAAAGTGTAAAAATGTTAAATAAATAAATAACCACAAGATTAAAAAGATTGAACCAACTAACTAAATATATAATATATTTGATTAATAAATGAATTTGAAATCGATTTAAATAAATACATCCAATTTGGTTTTGAAAATAACAAACAAAACATTGTTAAAATAAAAAATTTAAATGATTAAAATAAATAAATTAGATGCAATTAGAAGTTTAAATAAATAACTACATAATTTTTTCATAAATATATATTTATAAATATATTTTGAAATAAATACATCTTGATTTAAATACATAATACATCTATAAAGCTGCCTTTTAAATAGTAGGACGGGGTACCTTGCAGGTGAATGAGCAGAACCCTCTGCTCTGGAGGTGTATATCCAGACGGAGTTCTTTTGTCTGATTTGGTGAGCAAACCTAACCAGCCATTTATAAAGGTGTACATGACAGACTCAGTTATTACTTAACAGACCCACCCGTACAGCAGGTTTCGTTGGCAGGTTGAACTTCCTCAGCTGGCAAAGGCAGTACAACCCATACTAGACCTGACACTCACACTGAACTGAAGTGACACAAGCAGTCTTGCATTTCAAGCCCCATTTGTTCTTTAATTGTTAAGTGCCTAAAAAAAATCACTAGGGTGAAGGTCAGTAATATGACCCACAGAGAGCAACAACTACTGTTACTAATCCCATTCACAATTTATATGGCTGCTAAATTATTTACGCGCTGGCACCTTGTGCCCACATCTTTTTGATGTACTTGAATTATTCTCCTCCAACTCTGATAATGACGGTCACTGGTTCAGAAAAGCCATATCTCACTGAGAGGCCACCAAAGGGTTAAAAAATATATCCTCACACAGACAGAACCGTTGAGTCAATAAATCAATTTATTTAAAAGAATATGTTACATTTTATAATGCTATGACCAAACATTTTGCTTTTACATGAAGTCATGTCAGCTTAAGATGTCGGTTTCAAAACTTCTTCCAGGTATCCTGTTTATCTTGCTTTGTTTAATTTGCAGTATGTGCCCCATTGCTTATTTCAGTTTATACTACACCTCAGAGTCACTTTATAAATGTATTTGTGCCTTATTTTTTGAAAAGGTTACTCAAAAACTCACACCGCTGAAAATACTGTACAGAGATATTTGTGGTTGAGTTTCATATTCAAATAAATTAAAGTATCAGTCAATAGAGAAAGACAACCAGAGCAAACGAACGGAGAGAATAAGAGTAAAGAATGAGAGAGGGGGAGAGATCCACACAGACAAAGGTAAAAGTCTCATCTTAAAGTCTATGACAAACCATCTGACAAGAAAGAAGAGAGATTTGAACCGTATGCTTATGCAAAGGCTGCATGAATCTGTGAAATCCCATGATAACCAGCATAACGGTTATATAAGACAGCTGTGGTAATCCAACACAAGCAAATCCGCTGATCGTTCTGTTCATAATCGCCCGCTCACTCAGTTTGTCTATTAAATGGAAGAATCCAGGTTCAATACAAGTTAAATATTTTTGATTTGCCCTTTTGTTTTTTCCCCTCATTTTTATTTCAAAAAGAAGAAAAAAGCAAAATCAAAGTTTACGTGGGGCCAATTTTGGGAGGATTTAAAAGCAGAAATATGAAACATATTATTTTTTTAAAAACAACAACAACAGTATTTTGGTAAAACTTGCTGAGAAGTTGTTTGTGTCAATCATTTCAGGGTTTAGAAATTGTCATAGCTTCAAAACAACAGAAAATTATGTGATTTGACAATAAAATTTGTCAATAATTATATTGTTTGTGTCTTGTGTCTGTACTATTAAAACAGTATTTTAATGTTTACTTCAATTGCTTCCATTACAAGTGCCTCACTGTAACCCAATTTTATATTTTTTTATACTTTTGGTGGTAATCGTCTTTATGGCAAAAGTGCTGTCAACTGAGCTCATCTTGTATTAAAACCAAAATATCCCTTTAAAGTCAATGAATGCGATGACAGAGAAACATAATGGAACAGTGCAGGACAGAAATGGCATGCTGTCAGTCTTTAACACACATCACACATCATTTAAAAAGTGCAAAACATGTCATGACTGGTCTGAAGTGACAGGTTTGTATGCGCCTGCGCTACAATAAGTAACACTGAAAAAAAAGTCAAAGGATAAACACACTCACATGTGGTTTGATGCAGACCGCTTCCTGTGAAGTCAGAGCCACCTACTGCCGGATGAAGGCATGGCATCCTGAAACTCATAAAATAAGCAGCCCAATATCCACACATATCTAACACTGCTGGTTTTCCAATTCAGTGCTTCACATTTATAACACTGTTAACACAACTCAAGTCATATATGAGCAGAGCGAACACCCATACAGCACTGTTACAGATGATCAGTGGGCAGGTGTTCTACAGCCATGGCCAGACCCACACAGAGTCTCAGCAGATTCACAACACACATAATTCACAAGATTATCATATTCCCCAGCCCTTGAGAGTTCACTTTAAACATTGTACAAATAATGTCTAATTTGATCATACATTTAGCTACTAGTAAAGTTACCCTCAGCAGTGTTTGGGTCATTGACATGCAAGAGCGCCCATTAAAAAAGATAGTTTTCAATTTTTAAAAACACACTTTTTATATATTAATGTTGGTTTAATATGGTATTGAAAACCATGTATGTCAGTGGTTCTCAAGCAGAGGTCTGGGGCCCACCTTCACAAACTTCTAACGTGGCCTCAGGATGACTTAAAATTATTTCATTTATAGTTCTATTAAAATAATCTTAGTAAAAAAAAAAAAATTTTTTTTATTTTATTAATATTTATTTATAATAATATTTTTTCCCCCCATTTAAGTCCACACAGTTCTTGAAACTTTTGGAATCACAAAAACAA